CCCGCCCCGGGGCACCACCTGCTTGAGGAGAGATGAGACGGTGGTTGACCTCTGACCTTCCAGAAGGCTGGGCAAAGCCCTATTAAACCTATGGGCTCTGGGGTCCACTGTGAACCACACTAGAGCTCTTACATAGCAGATTTCTGTGCTTCTCATCACCTTTCTAATTCCTGAATTGTTCCAAATTCAGTGACACATCTGGTCCTGAGGGAAGCACGTTACCCTCGTGAAGAGAAGGATCTAGACGCAGGGGGAGACCTGGTCTCGCAGCGTGTCCTGGGGGGTTCCAGCGGCTGAGGCTCCCCTGGGACCCGCCACCTGGGAACAGACTGGGCTGAGGAGCGGGGTCTGGGCCCTGGGAAGCTCGTGGTGTGTTAAGAAAGCAGCACCTTGTTTGGGACTCGTTTCCTGGGGTTGGAGGGGCAGCGGCTGCTGTCATTGGCTCTTCAGCCTCCCTTAGGGTGGAAGCCCTTGTTTTCTATGTTTATGGCCAGACAGCTATGTAAAGGGTGGCGTGGATCTGTGTCTGCATCATGATTTTCCTGGTACTGAGCAAATGACCGTCTTCACACCCTGGGCTGGCCATACAGGCCTGTGCTGGGGGCAGAGGTGCTGTGCCCCCCTGGAGTGTCAGCAGACCTGGACTTAGCTGGGTGTGCCTTCCCCGCGTCCTCCCACAGGAGGTGACGGGTAGTGGCAGGAGCCGTGTTCTCCTGTCCCCGGGGGAGTCCGCCAGCACCCAGGAAGGTCTGGAGAGGAGGCCACACATGGTCCTCGTGATCTGCGCTGCAGCTCAAGGAAAACCACCACCGTCCCTCTTCTTGGTCAGTTGATGGCTAAGGCTCACAGACCCCTGAGCAGGGAGCCCAGCGCCCCCTCCCTCCCGCAGGATGCAGCTCCGCCTCTCACCCACCCAGTTAGCCAGGGGCTTCCTGAGGGGTCGTGGGGAGCGTGGGTCATCAGTGATGGAAAGCAAATTGCAGTCTCTTTGGTCAGAGAGTTCCAGGCCAAACTGCCAAAACTCCATTCCTCAGGCCTGGGTGGTGGCGCCAAGCGTCGCACTGATCAGGGTGCGGGTTCTCTTGGGGGGTCTGCAGCTACACGCTGCGGCCCAGCTGCTGCCGCCGGTCACACTACCCCCCAGGTGCCGGCCTTGGCTGGGGCTCCTCCTGACTTGACTCGCAGAAAGCTGGGATGAGCAGCGTGCCACACCCTCCCCCAGTGCCTACCTGTGCAGCCAGCAGAGACCACACACAGGCCTCTGGTTCTGCTGGGGGGGGAAGGCTGGCGCCCCGAGGCTGACGGAGAGGCCCGACGACCCAGCCGCCCCCACGGAGGGGCCACGGCTTCTGTCAGGCCCTCTCTTCAGGCCACCCTAGGGTGGGGCACGGAGACGGGCCCGTGCTTGGGCCTGGCTGAGCAGCTCACAGCTCACCGTTGCTGTCCTTGCGGGGCCGGGAGTTAACCTGGGTCAGGAGGCGTCTGGAGCCCAGGGTTCCTGTTCTCGTTGGTCGTTTCCTGCCGGAAGCGGGGCTGGAGCTCAGGGTCAGGACTGAGGAGAGAGCTGGGCTGTGCGACGTCCTGGCCACGCCGCTGAGAGGTCGGGGAGGTCACCGAGGTCCCTGTGCCTCAGCTTCGTCTGTAAAACGGGCAGGAGGAGAAACCGGAGCTGGGGGGCATACCGAGGGCGGCAGGGTCTCCAGGCTGCCAGCCTCACGGGAGGGCTCGGCATGCCTAACCGTTTGCTTCTGGTTTCGTGCCTAAAACCAGAGGACACAGATTTGTCCTCAGATCTTTGTTCTGTTTCCGAGCTGCTGGTGGGGAGTGAGGGAGTGTGGCCACCAGCGGGGAGGGCGCGGGCCACTGCCTGCCCCCACCCCACCCAGGCCTGACCGTGGACAGCAAGGCGGGCCCATCGGGCGGTGTTGGCCCAGCCCCCGCCCGGGGCCCCAGACCTGAGCGTCCTGCTGGTGGCGTGAGGGGACAGCTGGGCTGAGCTGTGAGTCCGGCAGGGCCCACTGGCAGCGTGTGGACTTGGGCAGTCTGGACCTCACGCCCGAGGGAGGCGGGTGGAGGGAGGCAGTCGGGGGAGGCTGTGGGCTCCGCCTGGTCTCCAGGGGCCTCCGTGCGGCTGCGCCCGCCTCGCTTGGCTCGGACCCCCCACCCCGGCAGGGAGTGGACAGCATCACCTCTGTCTGGGGCTCCTCCCCGGGGACCTGCCCATGCAGAGCCGTCTGGTGACCTGGCTCGGGCCCGGAGACCCCAGCTCACCGCCGTGTGGACGAGGCCTCGCACGCCCTCTGAGAACCGAGGGGGCTGTGCGCCCGGGGGGCTCCGTGCTCCTGTCCGCCTGCTCCCTGCTTGGTCCGGATACACTGTTGGGGTCTCCTCCCAGCACTGTTTCTTTATGGGCTCGGCTCCACCTCGGGGGGTCTTCTCTGTTTCAGGCGGGCGATGCCTCAGCTCCTGTCAGCCCTGTGGGAAAAGGCGGGCAGTGGACAGCAAGGCGGGCCCATCGGGCGGTGTTGGCCCAGCCCCCGCCCGGGGCCCCAGACCTGAGCGTCCTGCTGGTGGCGTGAGGGGACAGCTGGGCTGAGCTGTGAGTCCGGCAGGGCCCACTGGCAGCGTGTGGACTTGGGCAGTCTGGACCTCACGCCCGAGGGAGGCGGGTGGAGGGAGGCAGTCGGGGGAGGCTGTGGGCTCCGCCTGGTCTCCAGGGGCCTCCGTGCGGCTGCGCCCGCCTCGCTTGGCTCGGACCCCCCACCCCGGCAGGGAGTGGACAGCATCACCTCTGTCTGGGGCTCCTCCCCGGGGACCTGCCCATGCAGAGCCGTCTGGTGACCTGGCTCGGGCCCGGAGACCCCAGCTCACCACCGTGTGGACGAGGCCTCGCACGCCCTCTGAGAACCGAGGGGGCTGTGCGCCCGGGGGGCTCCGTGCTCCTGTCCGCCTGCTCCCTGCTTGGTCCGGATACACTGTTGGGGTCTCCTCCCAGCACTGTTTCTTTATGGGCTCGGCTCCACCTCGGGGGGTCTTCTCTGTTTCAGGCGGGCGATGCCTCAGCTCCTGTCAGCCCTGTGGGAAAAGGCGGGCTAGGAGAAGCGGGAGGGGGCGCTCACCGTCGGTGTCGGGGAGGACGGGGGCACAGGGGACGACCTATGGGTCACCCGGGGGCCGGAAGCAGCAGAGCCGGGCGGGGGGAGCACGAGGGCCCCGGGGCTAGCAGGGCGGGGGGCTGTGTCTGAGGCTGGGCTGGGGCACCTGGGGTAAGGCCGGGAGGAGAGGCCGGGAGGAGGCCGAGCTGGGAAGAGACAGACCCCGGGGTCATCCACGTCACGCACGTGAGCCCGGTGTGCTGCGGGACAGCGTCCCCCGGGTCTGTCTCAGGTCAGTTATGGTGACAAGACCATCACCTGTGAGGGCACCGTGGTCTGTTCCAGTCCTGCTCCCGGGCGCCTGCCAGGAGCCGGACGCCGCCCTCTCTGAGCACAGGACACAGACGAGCTGCGGAGCCTGGCGGGCCCACGCGGATCCACTTCCTGCCAGCCCTGTGGACATCACTGGAGCGGCTCCCACGTCCATCTTCTCCGCAGCCCCGGAACGCACCCCAGTGGAGGTAGGTCCTGTGCATCCAGGCTGACCCCCGGGTCCCCTGTGCCCCGAACAGGACTGCCTTAGTGCTGGCTGAGTGATGGGTTCTGCCAGGTCAGGCTGAGGAAGGGCAGGGCAGGCTTTTGGGAAGGACAGTCATGCGCAGGGAGGCTGGGTCCATGCTGATGCGGGATGGGGAGGGCCGCCAGGAGCAGCTGGGAGCCCGCAGGTGGGAGATGAGCCCATGGGGTCCACACCCTGAACCCACCCCCCCCACCCAACTGTGCTCATGTGACTGTCCCCAAAGCCCACTCTGGGGGAGATGGAGTTGGGCCCAAGGACCCATCTGAACTTTCTCCTTTCCCAGGAAACACAGGGCACCCTGGCTGGGACTGTGGGGTGGCTCTGGGGAGCTCAGGACTGGAGTGGAAGCTACCAGTCCCTGGTGTTCTGACCCGGGAGCGTGTTCTAGAAAGTATCCACCAGGGAGGACTTGTGCCGTGGAGGGGGCTGAGCCCAGGGTGGGCAGGGCAAGGCTGACCACGGGTGTCCACACTGGTAAAGGTGAGCTGGCAGGACCCCCAGAACAGCCACACGTGGCAGACGGGAGAGTCAGGCTTCAAAAAACCCATGTGAAGCGGGTCTGCTGCAGCCACCCCCATCTGGATGAGAAGGCGGGGATCGAGGGGCCGGGCCCCGGAACGAGGGAGACTGGTTGAGACCGCCTACCCTCCCCGTCTTCCCCTGACCGGCGGCAGCGCCCAGCTTCCCACAGGAAGGTCCCGCTGGCCGCGATGCCCGGCTCTGCAGGCCCCGTGGGGCAGGGCTGGCTGGGCCCTGGGGCGGTTTGAGCAGCTGTTGGTGGGAAAGGAAGCTGGGCTGGGGGCCGCTGCGCCTGTGAGAGCACCGCAGCCCCTCGGGCACCCCGCACCCCCACGCAGCTGTGTCCAAGCACCCGGGGCTTCCACAGGCTCTAGCAGGGGCCCAGCCTCCAGGCGGGCCCGGCCCGTGGCTCCCCTCAGGGACCCCCATTCCACGACCGGGCGCAGAGCAGAGGGGCTGCTCTGTCTACACACACGGAAGGAGACGACAGACGTGCACAGGGCCTTTAATAGCTCGGAGGGCAGTTTCCGTTGATGAAGGGTTTGTGAACTTATTGCAGGACAGAGTCAGGTGTGGAAACGCCATCTCACTGGATGCCCATTCTCCCAGTGGGGGCTCGGCTGGATGCCACCCCCATCGGCCAACAGTCACCGTGAGGGTGGCGTGTGGAGCTGGTGGCTGGTCCATATGCGAGGCTGGGCCCTGGTGGCTCTGGAGCAAGGTCAGGTGGCTGGAGTGGGTGTGAGGCTCGGGTAGGAGCCTGGAAGTGGGTCCACCCTCAGGGCGCCTTCTCCTTCCCACCTTCCCTGCATTCCTCTTTCAGGTTCTCGGCTGTGAGCTTCATCTGCTGTTGAGAGAACAGGACATGGTGAGCCACGCGAGCCTGGGTGGAGGCCCTCAGGGAGCCGCCCAGCACACACTCTGTGGGAGACGCCTGGCGCTGCTCCTTCAGGTCCGGGGACGGACACTTGGAACCGAGGAGCCGGGACCACTGATGCGGCCCGAGGTGTCCCGCCAAGTCCGGAGCCTGTTTCCAACCCAGAGGGGCGGGAAACGGTAGGTGTGGGTGGAATGTGTTGTGTGCGCCCAGCTCAGCGGGGCCTTTACAGACACTGAAGTGAGAAGCAGCTGGCACCTCCTCCTCCCTGGACCTCCAGGAGAAGGCGGGGAACCACAGGGCTGGGGGCTGGAGCCTGACGTGGGGCCAAGTCCGTGCTCTGCCCCTGCACACCAAGTGACCTCGGAAGTGTGACCGCCGAGCCTCATGTCACACCCGCCCCCTGGGTGAGAGGTGCACACCCTGCAGGCTGATGCTGGGGTGACTGCCTCTCAAGTCCTTGGCCCAGAGCAGAGGCCCCAGAAGAGCGGACGTCTCACCAGCCCTCTGTTCCAACAGCCACATCCAGGAGCATCGGGGACACCCTGTGAAGGCTCAGAGGGACGTGTCCGAGGAAGGGGCCCACACCCAGGACCATAGGCTGCAAGGAGGGAGCGCTCTGGCTCCAGTCCTGGGGCCCCACCCGGCCGCCTCTGCCATGGGTGCTGGAAACGTGAGTACAGCTCTGCACGGTTGACTGAATCAATTACGCCTTTGGAATCTGACTTCACACACACACAGATTTTTGATAATAGCTATTTACTTATAGAGAAAACACAACTCTGAGCACAAACATGGCTGGGGCCTGGGTCCCCGGCTGCCACACGCCTGGACACGACGCACACTCCCTCCGCTTTTGGGAGGAGACCCCTCTGCAGACTGTCAGTCAGAGTCTGTGCCTCCTGCTCCGCTCTGAAGGCCCCTCTAGATCTCCAGTAACTCAGGAGGCCCCCTTCACTCCAGATAGTCCTCATCTCTCTTGCCCTGGGTTTAGGAGACCTTTTCAAACGTCTTTTCATGAGAGCGAAAAAGGGGTTGAGGGGCAGAATTTGATGAGTAGCCATCAGAAATTAAAATCTAAACTGATGAGGATAAAATATTCCCAGGTTTTCTCACAGAATCATACAGCCAGGAGTCCTTCTCCACCTGAGAAGGAAAATCATAATGAGGTGTTTTTTTTTTTTTTAAGTCTTTATTGAGTTTGTTACAATACTGCTCCTGTTTCTATGTTATGGTTTTTTGGCCTGTGACCTTAGCTCCCTGACCAGGGATTGAACCTGCATACCCTGTCCTGGAAGGCGAAGTCTTAACCACTGGACTGCCAGGGAAATCTCCACAATGGGTTTTGATGACACGAGTTTTGATTGAAAGGCACCTCTGAGGTTCCCCTCCAGGTGCAGACAGCAGCCCCATCTGTGTGTGTGGCTGGGGATAAGCCCTCTCCCCTGAACAACCCTGCTGCAAGTGACCTAATTCTGGAGATGCCTCTTTTTCCAGCTCCAAGGCCTGGGAAGAGACTCTGAACCCAGCGGGCTGGGTGACCCCCACCTGCAGTGCCTGCTCTGCTGAGGGCAGGGTCCACAGTGGACTGCGTGGCTGGATCAAAGGTAGCGACCTCAGCCGGGACCCTCCATCCCCTTGGCCCCTGGGTTGGGCCAGCCCTCCCCCTGACCCGGCTCCTACCCCAGGTCCCGCAGGGCTCCATCTATCTCATGGAGCTTTGTGATCCCCAAAGGCCACATTGTCCATGGTGGGTGAGGAGCTGGGGCTCAGCCTGTCTCCCCCACCCCCAGCTGGATATGCTGAGCAGAGAGTAGGACCAGACCTTAAGACCCTAAAGACAAGCCTAAGAGGAAACACACTGCCACAGCCCGCCTGCCCAAAGGGAAGAGTTAAACCGCATGGGAGGGCAGTGAGCGATGCGCCAGCCTTCCCTGCACAGTCGGGGCAGGCCTCCACGGCTGCTGCCTGAGAGATGGGGTTGGAGGCCACGTGGCCCCCGGGCACCCGGGTCACCCAGTTGCTCTCACTGCTCACAGGTCTGTATCCTCTCACAGTGTGCGGTCACGGAACTCCTCATGAAACTGCCCACATCCTCCTTGCCTTCCAGTGAAATGGGGGGCTTTAGCAGAACTCACTCTAGAAGCATAAAAGTTCTGATCTGAAGGAACCTTGTTGATGATTATTTGGTGCTGTGGTCCCTGGACCTTGTTAAATGCACACTCGGTCCCTCCCTGAGATGATAAAATACCATCATGATGGTTTGTAGGGGGAGCCAGGACACTCTGAACTTTACCAGGCCCTCCAAGTTCCTCCATGGACAAACCCAGGCCTGGCATCTGATTTGTGGTCTGCCATCTTTTACCAGAAAGCAAACTGGGTCACTGGGCAGGTCCAGACCACAGTCCATGCTGAGAGTGCTGGGGTGGACCCCACAGCAGCTCAGCTGTTTGGTGAGGGCGCTTCAGCTGCCCTGCTGAAGAGGGTGGGGTGGGAAGGAGCAACCTCATTCCCTTAAAAAAATAGCTGGCTTCTTTGGGGACTTCAGAATCAAAACCTTTAAAAATATAAGCAGGACAATAATGCTGACCTCTTCCCCATTAAGAAACATGAGAATGAAGAGCAAACGAAATTTTCCTCAACTCACAAGTCATTAAAACACTCATGTTCCAAATTATTCTTTAAAAAGCACAGACTGATTTTTGGCATCATTATTAGCAATGATTATACAGGCAGACCTTTTACTGTGCTTCGCAGGTACTGTTTTTTGCTTTTTTATTTTAAACAAACTGAAGGTTTCTGGGCAGTCCTGTGTTGAATGAACACTTCTGTTGATGGCATTTCTTGAACAGCATTATTTTTTAAGGTTATGTACATTTTTTTAAGACATAATGCAATTACACTTAATAGACCACACTACAGTGTAAACATTACTTTTATATACAGGAGAAAAAGAAAAATTCACAACTTGCTTTACTGCAGTGGTCTGGAACCAAACCTGCAGTATCTCAGAGGTCTGCCTCTTAACAGGAACCAACTCACTAAGTGTGTTGGCCAAATGTGCAGCTTCACCTGAGACAAGGTGAGTGACAGGATCCCTCTTCCCTGCGGAGAAGTAGAGAAGTGCTGTCCGAGACCTGCACTGCTCTGCACGTCCACAGACACGGCGCCGCAGAGACTCCCTCGCTGACCCATGGTCACTTTCGGGATCCTTCTCTTCACCTGACTCAGGAAGTCAGTTTGGTAGCAGCTGCTCTGTTACCCCTTCCCTGAGAAGGACCCTGCACGTTCCTCTCCCTCAAATGCTGCAGGCCACCACCCCTGCTTCCCCTGCCCCCCCGTTCTGATTTAACGGGGGCATGAGGGTTAGGAAGGCTCCCCCAGGTGATTTTCTCGTGCAGCTGGGGTGGAGAAGCACTACCTGGAAGGAAGCCACTTGGGCACGTAAGGTGGGGATGGGGTGTGAAGTGGGCAGGAGGGGAGCAGGACCGGGGCCTCCGCTGTCCACAGCTCTGCCCCGCTTGCCGGCAACCACGCGCCTGTCTCCTCCGCCCGTGTCACTAGCTTGAGATCGTGCAGTTCGAGTCAGGACAGACTAAGCGAGGGTCTGCCGTTCAGTGAAGAAAGGAAAGCAGAGAGCAGGCCTTCTGACGTACCCGTTTTCACAAAGGTGAGCTTTGTCTGAGAGACCTAGAGACAAGCCCCTCTAACGAGTAGCACCTCCCCGCTCAGCCCCAAACCCGAGACGTCACCATGGATGGCTCCCTGCCCCTCCCCGTCAGGCCTGGTGGCCCCCGCCCGCCAAGCACACCACCTCCTCCCACTTCAGGACTGTTGCCCCTCCTGCCCTGAAACCACCTCCCAGAAGCCCCCACCGGAGCCATGTTTAGAACAGGGGGCCAGAAACACGCCACTCGAGGGGCTTCCCAAAGACTCGGGGCTAAGACTCAAGTCCCCCTTTTCTCTCTCTCACCCTGCAGCCTTGGCTCTGCTTCCCAAGCACCAGCTCCTTCCCTGTCTGCCTCACCGGCCCTGCCACTGAGCTCTGCCCTTCAGCCTGGCTCCTCCCGGAACACTCAGCCCGGAGGACGCGTCTCCATCATGTCCCCGTCTCCTGTAACTCCTGGACTGTACTCAAGCTGTCGGGTTCTCCGTTTTCTGTGGAGTGTCCAGCGTCTCCTCTCCTGACTCCACCCCAGGGCCTGCAGGAGCCCAAGAGAGGACAGCGAGAACAACAGGGGTAAGTGAGACACCCACCTTCCTGAAGTTCGCATCATTTTCTGAACCCAGCCACATGTCTGGGACCACAGAGCACACGCCGTGATACGGGCTGTATGTCAAGTGCCAGGACATCAGAGTCCAGCTGGTGGCCTGGCCTGGTAACCGGGCAGACCTGGGTCCAGCCCTGCAAGTTCTCTCCTGGTGGGGACAGGTCTTTGAGCTCCCCAAGCCTTCAGGGCTGGCTCTGGTGAAGGGAAGGGGGATCTGCAGGTAGAGCTGGGGGAAAGAGGATGATGGGAAAGTCGCCTGATATCAGCTTGGTCCCTGCTGGAAACCAAGAAGGTCCAAACCCAGCTCCCCCACCCAGTGAGGTGTGGTGTCCACAAGTTCAGTAACTGCAGGAGCTGACCCTGGGGACCATAAGTGTCAGTTTGACTTAAAACTAATGTCTACTTAAATCGTTTGGGAGGAGGAGATTGAGGTGGTGAAGTAGAAGAACGCAGAGTTCACTCCACCCACAAATACATCAAAACTACACTTAAAACTAGAACAATTTTCACAGAACACCAGCTGAGAGCAGGCAGATCTCAAATACCCAGCGCTGAAAGAAAGACCCCCATGTAACCTGGTAAGACTAAAGGAAAAAACCAGGGCAGGGAGAATGCAGGTGGGGCCTGTGCCCCAAGGGAGGGAGCTGTGGAAGAGGACAGGCTTCCTCACCTCGGGAACCTCCCGTGCCAGGACAGAGGGGAGGCTGCAGGGGCCTGGACTTTGCCCACGAGGAGTGTGCGCTGGCTGCCAGCAGAGAGAGGAACCGAGACTCACAGCAGCCGCACCCCCGCACTTCCCAGCCCGAGACCCGCGCCTGCTGTTGGGCACGTGCCTGGGGGTGTGGTCCAGAGTGCAGGTCTGCCCTGCAAGCCTTGTTGTCAGCGTGCTCACGGTGTGGCGGAGCTTTCACGGGTTGCAGGAGCTCATACGGTGTGAGTGTGAGCATGCCAGAGGCAGGAGGAGCTGATGCACAGACTAGGTCAGTTTTGTGGCTGTGCATACTGGGTGGCGGGCAGCGTCTCAGAGTTGCCTATCCCAGCAGGAGCGTTTCAGTCCCACCTCCCTCTCCCTGCAGCTCAGAACTGGGTCTGGGGGCTTCTACTCCAACAACTGGGGAGCAAACCCTAACCCCCAATGGGGCAGTGGCCAGCAAAGAGGAGGCCCTGATCATCACAGCACCAGGCACACCCCCCGCATCAAGGGGATAGTGGCCAGCATAGCCTGAGCCAAAGCCACGGCTGGTGTCCACAACAAATATAGCCTTTGCACCAGAAATAGTTCTACAGAGGGGTGGTCCCACATAAACATGGTCTTTCATAGTACATCACTGTTTCTCCTAAATTTATAGAGAAAAAGAAATACATATAAAATGAAAAAGTAGAGGAACTACTCCTGCTTAAGAGAAATCCCCTGAAAGAACAAACAGACCTTTCCAATCTAGCAGGCCCCCAAGTTCAAAAGGGAGGTAATAAAAATGCTGAAGGAATTGAGAAGGCTATCAGTAGAAATGTAGATCCTGTAACAAGGAACTAGAAACCATAAGGAAGAGCCAATCAAAATCAGACAACTCAGTTACCAAGGTTAAAAACCAGCAAACTAAGTAATTCAGAAGAACCAATAAGTGACCTGTAACAGAAATCACCCAATCAGAACAGCAGACAAAGACAGATGAAAAAAATGAAAGAAACACATTAAGTATAAAAGATAATACTGAAGCATGCCAACCTATGCATTATAGGAATTTCGGGAGGAAGAGAAAGGGAAAAGTGGATCAAAAATGTATTTGAAGAAATTACGGCTGAAAACTTCCCAAACCTGAAGAAGGAAAAAGGTATCCAGGTGAAAGAAATAGAGTCCCAAACAGGATGAATCCACATGGACCCACACCAAGATGTATCATAATTAAAATGCCAAAAGTTAAACAGGATTTTAAAGGCAGCAAGAGAAAAAGTCAGTTACAAGGGAGCCCCCATAAGGCTATCAGCTAATTTCTCTGCAGAAGCGCTGAATGTGTCTTACCACTCTCTGGCCTGAAAACTCTGCAACCTAGGACACTATTCAGAAAGATAATCATTTAGAACAAAAGGAGAGGGAAAGAATTTCTCAGGCAAGCAAAAACTGCAAGGATACAGCAATACTAAGCCTATCCTAAAGGAAACACTGAAAGGTGTTCTCTAAATAGAAAAAAAGCAAGAACCTATAGGAAAGGGAAAGTCACATTAGGAAAGGCAGATACATAAAAGGATTGAAGATCAGTTAAATAAGCCAGCACATAATCAATTTCACACACAAAAAATCTATCAACTACAAGATGTAATTTTGTGATTTTTTGTGATTCATTAGAATCACAAAATGTGGAGGAGGGGAGTAGGAAAATGTACATCTTTTAGAATGGAGAGCAAAGAGTGCACATGGACTATCAGTCTAAAGCAAGCAGACATAATAATAAATGAGATAGTTAATGAATTTGAAAACCAGGGCAACCACAAATCAAAAACATACACTAGACTCACAAAAATCATTAAGAACTCAAGCATAATACAAAAGAAAATTATCAAGCCACAAAGGGAAGAAAAGAACAAAGAAGAAATATAAAATCAAGTGGAAAACAAGGTTTAAAATGTCAACAAATACAGACCCATCTTATATGTCAGTGGACTAAAAGCTTCGATCAGAAGACACAGAGTGACAGACTGAATAATAAAACAAGAACCTACAACATGCTGCCTACAGGAGACTCACTTTAGAACGAAAGACACACAGATTAAAAGTGACGGTGTCTTCTTCAGAGAAATGTCTATTTAGGCCCATTTTTTTCATTGGGTTGTTTGGGTATTTTGATCCTGAATTGCATGAGCTATTTGTATGTTTTGTATATTAATCCTTGTTGGTTGCTTCATTTGCAAATATTTCTCCAAAGAAGACATACAGATGGCCAATCAACACATGAAAAGATGCTCAACATCACTAATTGTTAGAGAAATGCAAATCAAAACTAAATCACCTCACATCAGTCAGAATGGCCATCATAAAAAAAAAAATCTACAAACAATAAATGCTGGAGAGGATATAGAGAAAAGGAAACGCTCCTACACTGTTTACACCAATTTACATTCCTACTACCACTACGTAAAACAGTATGGAAGTTCCTCAAACTAAAAATAGAACTACCCTATGACCCAGAAGTCCTATTCCCGGGCATATACGTGGAAAAAAAATAATTCAAAAAGATGCATACACCCCAGTGTTCACTGAAGCACTTAAAATAGCCAGGACATGGAAGCAACCTAAATGTCCATCTACAGGGATGGATAAAGATGTGGTACATATATACAACAGAATATTACTCAGCCTTAAAAGGAACAAAATAGTGCTATTTGCAGAGATGTAGATATGCCTAGAGACTGTCATACAGAATGAAGTCAGTCAGAAATAGAAAAAAGTCATATAATATGGATTCTATGTGGAATCCAGAAAAATTGTACAGATGAACCTGTCTGCAAAGCAGAAATGAGACAGATGCAGAGAACAAACTTACAGATTCTAAGGGGATGGAATGGGATGATCTGTGAGGTTGGCACTGTCTTACACACACTACTGTGTATAAAGTCGGTAACTAATGAGAACCTACTGTATACCACAGGAAACTATATTCAGTAATATCCTGCGATAAACCACAATGGAAAAGAACATGAAAAAGAATATATATACACATGTAACTGAATCACTCTGCTGAACACCAGGAACTAACAACACTGTAAATAAACTACCCTTCAATAAAATTAAAACAAAACATGGTTACCAAGGGTAAGGTGGGTGAGAGGGATAAATCCAGAGTACAGGTGTCTCTACAGACACCTCCGCAGGCGCCTGGGCCCCGTGTAGGGCAGACACACTCTGAACACAGTTTCCCGCAGGCAGTGGGGCTCAGGCGGAGTCCGCGTCCTTGCGCTTCACACGCGCTCCTCTGTGCCAGCTTCATGGGCGTCTCACTCCTGACCTCCCCGCTCCTCCCCATCTCCTGCATTTCTAACTCTACTTCTATGTCAAAACCTCTTTTTTCCTCCTGCTTTGGTGACATAACTTTTAATGTTTATTACATTTGTTACCCACCTGTAACTTAATTAACAGTGATCAACACTGGCCACTTGATGCAAACAGCTGACTTAGTGGAAAAGACCCTCATACTGGGGAAAAATTGAGGGCAAAAGGAAAAGAAGGCAGCAGAAGATGAGATGGTTGGATGGCATCACTGACTCAATGGACATGGGTCTGAGCAAACTCCGGGAGATATTGAAGGACAGGGAGGCCTGGCATGCTGCAGTCCATGGGGTGGCAGAGTCAGACTGAGCGACTGAACAACAAACAACACTTAAGACACAGCAGGTGCTGATACTTCTTCCAAGTTAACTGATCCTTACCACTTATCCAAAATCCACACGAAATCACTCAGTGAGAAATCTTAGCAGATGCATCCATGGGCGCCTGGGCCTCAGCATAGGGCGAACACACTCTGTATAGATTGTTTTCTGCGGGCAGTGGGGCTCAGGCTTACTTACATTACATACAAGGTACATACACTATTTGCTCCTTGTAAACTGCACTATGAGAGGCACACCATTATCAACATTTTAAACAAGAGACACAGGGAAGTTACAAATCCTGCCCGAGGTCGCACAGTTCAGAGGGGGTTTGCGCCCAGTCCTGGCTCCAGAGCCCGCGCTGCTAGCCTGAGTTGCCCGGCTCCTGCTTGATAGCCTGCTAGCTCTGGGCTGCTCTTGGACCACCTATAACATCATCCCACTATCCACTGGGTTCGACCATGCTGTGAGATTCGGATTCCAATGAATCACACTTCCATCCTGTGAAGGTTTGCCTGCATTTTGGAAATGCTAGGTGAGGCTGAAATTTTGTTCTGTCCCACCTGGCCCAGATTTTTTCTGCTTCAGCTAAATCTCTCTAAACTAGGGGAGTCCAGCTCTAGAACACATCATGTTTACCCTACCCTGACCTTTAAGCACAAACTGAATCAAGATTTTAAAATTTGCTTAAAATTCTGGAAAGTTCAAGAGTTAATAAAAAGCACGGAAATCCATTTGAGTATGTTTTAAAGAAAGGCTTCTAAAGGGCACAAGAATAAGAAAGTGGAAAATGTGGCGGGGAAGTTAGTTGGCAAAGCACAAGCACTTGAGTGGCTAAAACTTGGAAAAGAAAACTAGTGACAGGCAAACGGCTTGAGGGAGCATCTCAATGGAGGGAAACATAAAGAACGAGCAAACCTAAAACTGGCAACAAAGTGCCACTTACTCAACACCTGTGAGGGTGGTGGGGGGAGTCCGGCTGTTAGGAATCACCCAGGAACAGGACAGGTTAAGATAAGCCGTGTCTCCTTTACTGGATAATGAGAAAAGCGATAACAGATGCTTAAAAGGCCACTGAGTTGAGTGGATGTAATTTGGACACACCGAGACATGGGAGTGGAGAGTAAGAACGCTGGGCTCTGGACGGCCTCGGGGACACCCACCAAGGGGGGCAGCAGGGCAGGGGGCGAGGCCTGCTTAAATGGATGACACCTTAACCCTGGCCATTCGGGCCCGGAGCAGTGGGCCCCACAGTGCAGGATAAGGTCAGAACGCAGATGGCGTCTGTGAGAGAGAAGGGTTATCTGGAAATAAAAAGAATCAGTGCCTGTAAGATCAAAAACAAGCTACAACTAATCATGAGGAAATAATATATATAAAAATCATGAAGAATACTTCTGGAACATTGCATCATGTAACGTGCATCGTTGCCATATCAGAGGCAAGAGTGACATCATAGGGATGGCCCAAAACGGCAGGACAGAAAAGACAAAGGTGACACCTATTCTGTGTAAGAAAGGGAAAAGAGCATTTTGTATTTTGGCAAGTAATAATGTAAAACTAGTGCAGTGACTCCCAAATCAGAGAACTCATGACCAACTTTCTTGTAAAAAATGGAGTTCCTTTTTTAAAGGCAACACTCACTGTAGTAACTAGATCTCTGGGTGTGATGTTATCCTGTAAACTGAAGTGCAGGAGGAAATCATTCAGGCTGTGCTACAGCATGATCCTGGGCTGTTTATCAGAAGGGAGAGGTTGCCAGTCTGATCTGTTACCATCAGCCCACAACACCAACACTTCCACAACGCTGCCAAGGACACCAACCCAGTGACCCAGAGCATCTGGTCTCCAAGAGGCACTTCTGGACAAGATGTGCACAGGAAGTAGCCGCCTCTTGATCTAGATACAGGCTTGGGAGGAAGAGGGTGCCCTTCCTGTCTGCAAGCCTAGGGGCAGAGGGTGGACAGGGGGCTCTCCTGCAGTACCGGTCTGTCGAGGTCAGGAACCCCCTGGAAGTACACAGGTCACTCAGGTTCCCAGGGACGCGAGACCCAAGGAGTCTAGAACCAGCCAAGGCCGTGGCATGATCTCTCAGTCCTCATCTTTAATGGGCAGTAACACCCCCAGGCTCAGGGTTCAGGCTGGGGCGCAAGGCATGGATGGGCGAGGACGCAAGGATTACAGCACCCTTCCACAGGGGGCCGCTCCACAGAAGCCTCCCCGTCCACCAGCTCCTTCCGTGAGTCCCGAGTCTCATGAGATGACTCGGGGATGGGTCTTCACTGGGGCAGGAAGGAAAAAACCAGAGTTCAGAAAACAAAAGGCTGACACAAACAGTCCACTAAATGACACAGAGGAGACCGTCCACTGCCCACACCAGGGCTTCAACCAAGAATTTTAAAAAATTTAAACATTTTTCTTAAATATCAAGGGAGAACAGCGCTTCATCTAAGAAAACACAGCTGGCTGCCACCAGGAGAGAGCAGTGGCTGCCTCTGTGCCCACGGCGGCCGCGCCCCTTTCTGGCCCTGATCCCCGGCTGCAGAAGCTCTTCCCCCATCACAGGCATGACTTCGGCATGACTTCAGGAGACTAGGCGCCAGAGCACCCATCCCCCACAGCAGCGTCCCTGGCAGTGCTGGGTTTTCTCCCATCTACATGGGGTGTGGTCCTTTGATCAACACAACATCTATATCCTCCATGCATGTCATCGTAATATCTAAAAGTCAACGTGATGACTAAAACCAAGGCCATAATCACTGTGTTGACTCTGATTTTATTGCCTCCACCCCTAGGGTTAGGAATGGCCAGCTGCATGCCTGTTGATGAGTGCTGCTGCTGGCACCAACGCCCCTTCTGAAGAGCCTGGGTCAAGGTGGGGCCAGAAATGGCTGATGCTTGATCAATCTTTCTGCAAGAAAAACACTGTATTAGGCAGACATGTGAGCCTTCATTCTCTTGACTTCCTTTTCCTCAAAACGGCTAATTCCCACCTCTAAGCCTCGTGAACAAGGACGAGGCCCCGTGTTGCCTCTACATCTTCATTCCACTTGAATTCCCCGTCACCTGCATCCCTCGGGGGGCAGGGGGTGGCAGGAGGTACTGGAACTGATGGGCCGGCCCCCACAGCTCTGTCCTAGAGAGAACTGTTCTAGAGTTCTAGAGGCTCTGTTCTAGAGAGAACTGCAGTGACACACCACCGTGACATCCATCCTGAGAACCCAGAGCACCCACCCGCACGGGACACGTCTGTGGCTTCCCCACTTCCTCTTTTATACTGATGCCCAGAACTGGCCTTTGTTAGAGGAACCAGCTTAACTGTGTGTACACGGCAGAAACACCTGCCTCGGGACACAGCACAGCTTTGTTCGTGAATTAGAAATGACTTCTCCGCAGACCTGTACTCTAGGTGTTTGACAGCAAAGAACCCAAGACCCCAGTGTGATCAGAGCATCCAGTCCATGTGGTCAGTGCTCTCTTTAGTGTGACCTTTGGAAAAAGAGATCACGGTCCCCTCTTGGGTTAATCCATCAGCCAGTACAATCCTGCTTACGCCTCAGACTTTGTTTCTGACAAAAGTTCTAACCAAAAAATCACATGGTCTGGAGTGGGTCAGAACTCAGCCTCCTCACTTTGTCATTTAGAAACATGAGCTGCTGCATGCAATATGTGTTGAATTAAACAAGTCTTCACCTATTCAGTTCTTCCTCTACCATCGTCACTATTTTCTTGTGTGAAGCCAAGAAGAGCAGACAGCCTGAGAGAGAAGCCATTTGCTAACAGGGACTCCCCTGGTAGAATTCATAAAATACGATTTCTGCCTGTTACCCTGAACGACCTGCAAGTCATTTTGTTAAGACAGGTTAAATGTTTTAGGAGCACTCGGCCAGGTTTGGGTGGAGTGATATCTGTTGTCTCCAGCAAAGCCCACGGCTGATTCACAGATAAGTTATGTGGCTCTAGAAGAGGCAATCAAACCAGTGTTTCCATAAGTTGTTTTGGACAATCAGAACAAACCAGCTTGCACCAAACAGTCACGCAGTTGTTCAGGTTGTGGGCATATATGTTTTTTACCCTTTGAACCAAGCATTCCAGGTAAGTACATGGCAAGCCACGCAGAAAAAATGCTCTTATTCATATAGGCTTAATTAGATGGGCAAGAAATGACTGGAAGGGAAGAGAATAACATCCATAATGACTAATAAAATAAGCTGGGGTCAAGGCCTCAGCATTCCTGTTTTCAAAAAGGAACTGGTGTCAGTAGGAAGGCTTCCCCTGGTGAGCTAGAAAGCTAGTGACGCCCTGGGTACACGCACAGCCACGTGTCCTGAGCTAGGAGGAAGTGATGGTGACCACAAGAGGAAAGCATGTGCTGGACAGAAATGAAACAAAACCAACAGCGGGTGAGTCGGGGCCCAGAGGCCTCGACACAAGGAGACAATAGCTCTTTTCAAACAACGCTGCATACTCAAGCTCGCCCCACGGCGCCGGAGCCCCACCCTCCAGGGACGGCTCCTCGCCCTCCAGGAAGCCGAGTCCCACTGACCCACTGACGGTCTCCAGCCCACCCAGCCTGGCATGCTCTGTGCTGGGAAGAACTTGCAGCTCCCGGAAGCCAGTAGGAGACCCCTGGGCTTCTGGCCAGGCTGACACACAGGCCTGGCCCTTGAACCTGCCTCTCGGGTCCTTCTCTGGGCCCTTGAGTCCCCTCCCTGCCTCCTTCTCCCCTGCCCTCAACACCAAGGGCAGGGCGGCAGGCCGTGCTCGGCTCTCACCTCCTGGACTAGCACCTGGCGGCTGGCGGCCAGTCTCCAGGTCCCACCGCTTTACAGCAACCTGTGAATTCCTGCTGCTCTTCAAAGACACACAGGTGTCGCACCTTCCACAAAGCCCCCTGGCTGCCAACGGGCGGTGCCGGCCCACACCCGTGCTCCTGCTTTGCCATGCCTGGGTGCAGAGGCTCCCACTGTAGGAGATGGCATGACAGCCCCAGACGGCAGGCTCCAGGGCAGGGTCCCCTGCAAGGGGGGTGATCAAGATGTGTCCCGATCTGTGGGTGAGCCTGAGGGGCAGTGGAGCAGACGCACAGCTCTGTGCTGGGACCAATGGCGCCTGCCCTTCACGGTGACCACAGACACCTCCCAAGGCACTCTTTTCTTCCTGAGGCTTCAGCGTCAGAATCCCTGTGCCCTCAGAGGGCCAGTTCTAGGGCTCGGGGAGAGCTGAAGCTCTGGTGAGGGGATGAACAGCCTGCAGATGACCTCCTTTAGCACAGAAGCAGAAGCCCACTTACAACCACAGAGATCTGATGGCAGCTTTGGAGCAAAGTGAGGGGGGTTCTCAGGCAGTGAGACCCAAACCCTGATGGTCAGTCATCAGCAGTCTGTACCTGATGATCTTTCATAAAGTGAGTTCCCACTTGCAGTGTTCATCTAGCAGGTTTGAGAATTTTACAAACTAAAAAAACTGACAAAAAACTGCAAGCAGACTACAGAGATCTTAAATAAAAGACCCTTACTCAGATTTACCAGCTAGTTCTGCTTTGCACTCTGCTTGATCATTCTCTTTATATTACCTTTTTCTTAATCATTTGAGAGTAAGTTCTAGACAGCACCCCCCCATGCCCCTAGGCACATCCATATATATTTTCTAAAAACAAAGCCTTTATCTTACATAGTACAGGAGAATGTTCCCTGATGATTTTGAAGGGTGAGGTGATGGTCATTTCCTATTTTATCCAACTTTCCAGATGTTATCAAGTTGACAGAGTTCAGAAAGTGTAAAAACAGCTGGGAGTCCCTTAAGCATCACCGCCGGATGATGAAACAGCTGGCTCTTCTGAGGAAAAGCAGACAGTGATGCCAGCACACTTCCCTCACGTTCATGGCAGATGTGATTTTGATGAACTGGGGTACCACGGGACCATGTCAACCAGCGTCCCACCGAGCCACGGTCGATGGTGGGCAGTCTGTGAGATGGCCCCGTAACAGCCGCTGCCTGTGGAAACGCCCCTCGGAGTGCTGGCTGGACCCAGGACTCACCTTAGACCACAGAGCACAGCACAGTGAGGGGACGTCACTCCAGAGACAAGATCGCAAACAGGCTGTGCTTCCATCCTGGGGGCCCCTCTCTCACTCGCTGGTTCTGATGGGAGTCGGCGGCCGGGTACGCGCAGCCCCGTGGAGGGGCCCACACAGTGAGGGACAGATGTCCCAGCCCTGAGGCTGAGAGCCTGGGAGGGGACCCCCGCTCCGGTTAGCCGTGAGACGCCTGCAGGCCCGGTCGACTCCTCGATCACAGCCTCGAGGGGCACCCTGGTGAGCCCGTGCAGACACACAGATGCTGTGAGGGAGCCCACGTTGTTTTGGGGTCATTTGCTATCCAGCAATAGATGCGGGGGCTGGTCATGATGGAATATCACCAAAACTCATCTGAAGTAAAAACATGCTTGATTTCTGAAGCTCTGGTCGGTGGTGTAATCAAGGGTCTAGGGGTCCTGGGCACAGAGGAGGGAGGCAGTCACTTCCCTCTCTCCTCTGATTACTCAACCTCTCTCTCAGATGAATCCTTCTGAATGACTTTTATTTTTAAAATACAAAAATAGATAAAAAATCTTCTGTATAACACAGGGAACTCTCCTCAATACTCAGTAATGACCTATATGGGAAAAGAATCTAAAAAACAGAGTGGATCTACGTATAACTGACTCACTCTTTGCTGAACACCTGAAACCAAGGCAACACTGTTGAACAACTACACTCTAATAAAAAAAAAAAAAACCAGAATAAAAGGGCCAGTAGGAGAGGTGGGGTGATTTGCTTATTTTGGTAATACTTATAGATGCACAAGTGTTAGTATTGCTTAATTTTTTTCTCTATATCTTGCTAAGTAATAAAAAAAATGTTGGCATGATTAACCATAAAAAAAAAAATACATGTGCATAGTTTAAAAGACTCAAGCACTAAAGAAAAAATACTGTGAAAAAAATTCACCCCATCTTGTGCCCCAGTCCCTCACCTTAGAGGGAATTTCTTATTAATTACCAATTTCATG